GAGGCACAGTATCCATGGAATGATGGAAGAGGAAAACGTGGTAAGACCTCACCAGGAAATGACGAGTCTTTCTATGCAAGAGAAAAAATATTTGCTTGCAGTAGAGCGAGGTGATGTGGCATCGGTAAGAAGGTAAGTACGAATAAACGACCGATCGTTTTCTCGAATTTATTTATTTATTTATTTATTTCCTTTTTTCCTTTTTTTCGTTTTTTCTTAACTCTTTTTTTAAATCTTCTTAGCTCTTCTCTTTGATTTTTTTTTTCTCTCTCTCTTTTTTTTTTTTTTTTTTTTTTTTGTACACATCTCTACTTTTTTTCTTTATCTGTTCTCTTTATTGTTGTTACTGTTATTGTTGTTTGTTCGTTCGTTCGTTCGTTCGTTCGTTCGTTCGTTCGTTCGTTCGTTTGTTTGTTTGTTTATTTATTCTTTCGTTCATTCATTTGATGGAGTATTCCTTCCTTGAAAGGAATTTTTTTTTTTTTAAACCTCTTTCATGTCCAGTCGTCTCTTCTTTCGAGCGTAATTACGTTTACAAGCACGCCCTACGAAATCTCGTATATTTAGATACATATATGTATGATGTATCTACATAATATATCATACACGCGCTATACGAACTGCTGATTATAATTTACCACTTTCGGGTAAATTATTCCGCCGCGTAACATCATCCCTAGGGATGTCATAGATTTACATATACCACTTTTGGTCTATCCCTCATCATTTTCCAATGAAACACGTTTTTCAATTGTACGTTTATAAATTGCACGATGATAAGATCTTTTAAATGAAGAAATGAAAAAAAAAGAAGAAGAAAAAAGAAAAAAAATAACGAAAATAAGAGAAAAACGAACGAAGTTAACAAGTTATTGAATTTTCTATCCTAGGATAGAAAACGAACGTCAAAAGGAATTTTACTATTTCACCTTTTCATGAATCAATTTCATTTTTTTTTTTTTTTTTTTTTTTTTTTTTTTTTATCTTAACTATCATAGATTTCCCCTTGCATACGCGTGTCGACTATTTCTTTCTTTCTCTCTCTCTCTCTCTCTATTTTTTTTTTCCTTTTCTTTTTTTATTTCTTTATCTCATACAAGGAGAAAGTTCCAGCAAATGATCGGCCATTCCCCTTACACTTTTTCTTCTCTCATATACGCTTTGTTCAATGAATTAGTATACGAGACACATACATAAATGTTTTCTATGTATTTCACCATGTGAAATTAAGGATTCGATTGTTCTCTCGTTATCTCTATTTGTGAAACACGCGTGGACGGACGCGCATTCACTTGCGTATATATGTATGTATATACTATGTGTATATATATATATATATATATACATACAAGAGCATTGACACGTTCACGAAAGGGTCAGAATATCTCTCTCTCTCTCTCTCTCTCTCTTTTTCTTTCTTTCTCTCTTTTTTTCTCTCTTCCTATCTCTTCTTGTATTTTGTCAACCGTGTAATCCGTTGAAACGATCCACTAAAAAGAAAAGAAAAGAAAAGAAAATTATTCGATGCTTTTTCATCTTTCAACACGCTATTATTCTTTTAATAATTAAAATTAATACGTAGCTAGGTAAGATTAATGTCAAGATCGATTTATCCTTTTTACTTCCTTCCTTCCTTCCTTCCTTCCTTCCTTCCTTCCTTCCTTCTTTCTTTTTTCTTTCACTTTTTCGTTCCTTTTTTTTCTTTCTTTCTTTCTTTTTCTTTCTCTCTTTCTTTTTCTTTCTCTCTTTTTATAAGTATAAAAGCAAAGCCTACTGAAAGTAATTAGCCTCCGAGAGTTCTTCGTCATTCTCAATTTTGAACCTTCACAATGTTCGAGAATAAAATCAAGCGTCACATGGTTATCCACCATTTCGTCGCTGCTTGCAACAGGAACATTAATTATCCTTGAGACAAGATCGGGTGAGAAGGTTCCAATAATCATTTACGGCCTATCGTTCGTCTTAAGGCAATTAGTGACTATTAAACTGCATTAATGATCTTTCCTAATCCGTGCAATTTCATCATATAAAGAGAGAGAGAGAGAGAGAGAGAGAGAGAGAGAGAGAGAGAAAGTACTACTTAGGACACCTGCGACGAGAATAGGAAATCTGATAGAAACGTAGCGTTAGAAGGTACTTTAATAAATTAATTCATTTCATTAATTTATTGCACGAAGTAGGAAATTTCTTATAAAATAAAATAAAATAAAATAAAATAAGAAAAAAAAGAAAGAAAAAAAAAACAGTTGATAAGAAAAAGATTAACAATACTGATCAAAAAAATTATTCCTTTGTCTTGCATTAATCATTTCGTTCGTTGTTGATGTTTTTTTAAGAGAGAGAGAGAGAGAGAGAAAAGAAGAAAAAAAAAGGTTACAACGAAATAAGGAGAGTTTTATGATCTTTGTCACAGAATGCTTCAAAGTGCACAAGAGACCGACTTGAACATCAATTGCGTGGATCCTTTAGGAAGATCAGCCCTCTTGATGGCAATCGACAA